ATAAAGCAGCACATCTGCTGGGACTGTGAGCATTATTCTTACTAACCAAGTACTCTATTAGAGCTTTGACAAAGAACTGAGATTTTTAAACATGTTTTTTTTTTGGAAATGACTGTCAGATAATGGCTCTGGTCCCTCTGGCAGCAACTGCAGCAGGACTGCAAAAGATTGGGTGTGCACCGATGAGGAGCATACCCCAAATCCGTCAGTATTACCTACCTTCATTGCAGGGGAGGTACCCCCTAAACCAAAACAAGAAATGGTTGTGCCAGAAATTTCCTGGGTTCTTGCCTCTGCATTCTCCTACCTTACTGGTACCACCCTACATGGCTCCTGACCCCCCACACTTTTGGCTGCAGACCCCAAGCAGCTTAGCAAACGGCTGCTCCACACTTAAAACCGATCTTCTGAGCACTCGTGGTTGCTAAAGAGTCCAAGGCGCCATTAGCTAGATCAGGGGAATTAACTCTGGTGCCGAGGGCGAAGTCCAGCTGCAGTTATTACATCGCACTGTCTGCCAGCATACGTTACCCTTGTTGTTTGTCCAGGTCACCTCATATTTTTTTCCTAACGTGCTGCAATGCTTATATCAAACACTGCTCTTCACCCTGAAGATGGGAGCATCTGAATACTGGAGAGAGCAGCCCTTGTGTGCAATCTACCTGTGAACCACACACATTACTTCTCAGTTAGTGAGCATGGGGGACAGACTGTGCACCCTGTTAATCAGAGAGGAAAGTAGGTATTGTAAGTGGAGTGGCTGGATATTAAAGGGAAGCTGCTGGAGAAAGAGGGTCTGGCGTGAACTACATGTAGAGGACAAAGGCAGACAAGGTCAAATCCGATATCTTTTATTAGACCAACTCAAATAGTTGGAAAAATTCTTCTTTGCAAGCTTTCAGGTACAAATATCCTTCGCCAGGCAGAGGAAGGTCTGCAATTGGTCTGTGCGCTTCCTGGATGGAGTAGTAAAGAAGCCAGAGGCCAGCACGTAAGCAAGAAAGCCAGTCAGTTAAAATGTAAATTGAGGTAGTCAATAGGTGACAGACAGGTTGGGGGGGGGCGGGGGGGAATCAAACAGGCTGCCCAAAAAGCCTATTTCATTGCCCTGAACAAACAAGTTACGGCAGGCTAGCAGTGGTTTGAGTTAATAAACATCTAAGCACAAATTGGACATTACCTGCAGCCTGGAAATTTAATTTTCACTCATAATACTTGTATTTCACTTCTCAACACACCCAGAATTCATTTTCTTTGACTATTTCTGAAGTCTACATGCTTGTTTATAAGCCAGTGCCCCAACTCATCTTTAAATATCACTGACTCTCAAAGGGAAGAGTCCTTTCATGGGAAGCAGCAGCTTGAGTACCCATGCACTCATTGAGCCCAAAACCAGGCAGGCAAAAGCAAACCTGGAAGGTACATCAGTGTTTTATCAGTCTCCTTTTCAAGATTTTGAGAGCTGCAGTCTTGACTTTAGTGTTGATGCCAGAAATCTAATACCTTCAAAAACAGGTCCTGGCACTGACAACACTCTCACCAACCAACAATGGTAGGAAGAGCTCACAGGATGGCCTCTTTTGGAGCTTCATGAAACTTTACAGATGGAAGGACAGTTTTGTAGTTAAAGCACTGGTGACCCTCTGGCTCTGCCAGACTCCATGTCTCTCCATGGACAAGCTGCTTAGCACCATGTCCAGGCAGGTATTTATGTGCCTATGTCACACTGTAGGCGGAACTTGGGTACCCAAATTCCCAAGTCAGTGATCCACAAAAGTAAAGTGATCCAAGTTAAGTGACCCACAAAAACTGCCTAATGCCTAAACACTTAGGAGACAGAGTCCACAGACTCCTAAAATTTTTGGCAAAACTTAGGCGTTTTAAGTTCACCTAACTGCACATGTTCAGAACTGTCACTATCTTGGCCAAGCCAAATGTTTAGATGACTTGCTTTTTAGGATTAAAAAACTGAACATCCCCGAGCCAAAGCCCCCAGAGGGGCCTGATCCAGTATGTGTACACAGCCCACACATCACCTATGCTACCACCAGTGTTCAGCACTGACAGACAAGCTTGCTCAGGAGCACAGCTGAGGGTTGGCATGGTGCCCTCTGCACAACAGGCTAGTGCAGGCATTAGCTACCTTGTGCCATCACAGGTTGCTACTTGTGATTCAGCCGCTTCCATGGGCCATGCCCCCCTCCCCCAGAGAGCTACAGATGCTGTGAAGGAAACAGATTAAAAAAGAAAAAGGCAGGCATGAGGACTCTGGGGGTGCCGCCTCTGTTGCTGTGGCTAGAGCATGCTGCTAACTAGATACAGTGTCTTTACAGTCTGGATCCGGCCCATGGGCTGTTGGTTGCTGACCCATGGCATAATTAATTAGCCAGGAAGTGGGGTACCTGGGTTGTGCCTTCAAAGAAAGGGGGGAAAAAAGGTAACCCGCACACTGTCATGGTGAAGGCAGCTGTCCAGTCCCGAGACACTTACAAATTCTACATCCTTCTGAGCCTTCTTACATCTCTGCACTCCTAGAGTTTATAATCTTAGCGAGGGACCGTGCCAATTTTATAAAGTGAAGTTTTAAGAAACTAAGCAGAATGAATAGCCCCAAAGTTAATAGATTTAACTTGCCATGAAAGCTGCAACCTCCATCCTCCATTCCACTCTTGGTATCCCATGAGACTGTCAGCTAAAAGGCTGCTTATGGCCAATTATGGGGCTGGTAATGGTATGGACACCTGCTCCCTAGGAAATGGGCTAAAAGCAAATGCATTTAAAACAAAGGTCACCAGCTGGTAATTTTAAAATCTGAGGTGACCCAAGCTAGTTTCAAACAAAGAGAAAGACTCCATGTATCCCATCATCATTTGCCTCAGTCATCCAATCCCCAATGCTGATGTATTACTGACTCTGATCTCCTCTCCATCTCCCTCCATTACACTGTAAAAAAGCCGAGTGAAATTCCTGATGCAAATCTGCTCTTAAATTGTAATACAAAAGAAGCACAGAAATGATAAATGATATCAATCTTTACACCCTCTCACTTTTAATCCATTTTGTTAGCTCAGCATGCAAACTCTTGGGGGCAGGGAATCTATAGCATCTCTAAAGCTCAGTGCAAGCTCACAGTACTATATACATGATTTTTATTTGTTTTTGAATTTTCCTGAAGATTTCAGAGAAGTGGAAGAAAAGTGAAAACTTCTGGGTTCATGGGACAATGCAGATAAATAGCATTCTTAGAACAAATTGGTTTTGAGCATCATTTGACCTTGAAGTACAATCTGAAAATCACTGATTATATTAAAGTGGTACCAATTCTCCCAACAGATCTACTACCCTTAGACATTCAGCATCAGAGCTGCATCCAGTTAACGAACAACAGGCATTTTCTTTTTTAGGAACATAGAATATAACTTAATTATGTTCATCCTGATTCTATTTCTTCTGTATTTGTGAGGTCAAGCCAGGCTTGACAGATACCCATCACATTCATTTCAATCTGAACTGTGCATATATAACACCTGCAATGAGATAAAATGTTTTCCATAGAAAGAGTGATCTTTATGATACTGTTGCCCTATTGTGCAAGTTTACATTGTATGCAATGAAGTAATGAGATGGGGGTGTGAGAAAGCCACCTAAATATAAATAGACTCCTGAAAGGATCTGCTTGGCTAAATTTTGAGAAAATAAGTTTGCAACCAGTCTTTAGAAGTACTGCTTTGTGACAAGTAGGGAGATCTTAACTCACTATGACGACCCTGGGGCTTCTACAGCTACGCAGCACCAAGTCTTGAGATCTAAGAGACCAGCCTGGGGGGAAACTAAGAAATTAGAAGAAAGGAAGGAAAAAAAAATACACCGTGCCAAATGCCGTATATCCATTTACTCTTCAGAGTAAGGGGACCCAAAAATATGGCCCCCAGTGCTGTCTCAGTCTGAGCAGACCTACATGGGGCATAGCATGCTTCAGACCAGCCACAGACAGGGCTTGGGGCATGCGCTGCTGGAATGGTTGCCACATGGGGTGCAGTCTGGCTGGGGGCATGTAGTGCAGATCCCAGGCCAGCTAGAGCAGGTGTTGTGCTGCACACAATGCCCACACATTGGCCACGCTGCACTGAATGTGGCACCTGCTCCAACCAGGTAAGGACCCACCCTGAATGCAGCGCCTATGAGCACCACGTGCAGCAGGTGTTCTGGCAGGTCTATGATCTGTGCTACATAGCCCTAGGTAGACTGTGCCCCATGCAGCGCACTTTCCAGGCACGCACACTGCAGGCCCCAGACCGGTTGAAGCAGGTGCTGGATCTGGTACACTGAGGAAGAAAGGGATGGGAAGAGGTCTGCTGGCCTGATCTGGCCTGCTGACAGGCCCCATGCCACTCATCCAGCCCACAGAGCTGTAGGCTCTGAGCACAGACAAGCTTATTGAGTGAAGTGCTTTCCTTCGGTTCCTGCAAGCATCTGCAGCAAGGAACCTATCCCTTGCATATCCCAACCCTAGCAGGTAGAATGAACAAAGTGTTGTTTCAGTCTATGAAGAAGCTAAATACCTTTTATACCAGGGGCTCTCAACCTTTTTCTTCTTGAGCCCCCCCACAGCATGCTATAAAAACTCCACGGCCCACCTGTGCCACAACTGCTAGGCTTCCCAGCCCCACCTGCATGGCCCTGGATGCAGCAGGCAGGGCTTGGCAGCAGGGAGCCCCAGGGCCCCATTCACCTGGGCAGTGGCAGCACAGAGACTCACCCACCCACCCGCAGCGCCACCTGCAGATGGAGGCCGTGGGGCCGGGCAGGGTGAGCCCGCCTGTGCCTCCACCCCTTCCTCAGGACTCGCCTCAGCCCCAGGGCTGCCAAGGTAGCTCCTCCCCACGCTGGGCTGGGTGGGCACCCCAAAACCTACTCGTAGCCCCCCTTCAGGCTTCAGTACATTTCCAGATACACACACAGAATTTCATACTGGCTCCATTGCATTGATGTAAATATACCTGTGCCAACGTCCACATTGCAGACTCAATCTTCACAGACAGTGCTCTATCATGAGTTTATAGACAGGCAGTTCCAGCACCAATTCTGCTGCTCACTAAGATGCATGACGAAATTAAGAAAACTGTTAGTTTCTCTACCACTATTCCATACAAAAACCACATCAATTTTGTGCTGCTGATCAGGAAAACCCCACAGAAAACAGAAGCAGCAGCAGCAGCCACTGAAGACGATCCAAGAGGGACAAAGAAAAGGTAGAAAAGCAATAGCAAAGTGCTCTTTCAGAAGCATTCAGGGAGCTGGGAAGTCGAATACAAGTGCTGGATGACACTCATTTTTAAGACTCCTAGCACATGGAGGATTATATGAAGTCTCAAAGCAGAGTCCAGGTGCATCACACAAACTGCTGGAAGATGGACTGGAATTTAATGGGGGGCCTTGGCTCTGGCTTTGATTAGCAAATACCCCATCTTCACTTTTCATAGCAATCACCAGTAAAGATAAGGAAAGCATGGAAATCTTTTGAGCCCTGACCACATTATTGCTCCACAAATTTTACTATAGGTGAATGCCTAAAATTAGAAGAATGGGAAGCGTTTGGGGAAGTTGGGTTCTGGGGAAGCTGATGTGAGAAACAGATTCAACTTTGTGGTGTCAGATGTACCAGATGACAAGCAGCTTTATATTCACCACATACATCTGACACCCCCAACATGAGGGCCCGTTGCACGGATGAGATAACTGATGGACAGAGAAAAGCATGCTGAAGTGGTACCAGAGCAAAACAGGCAATGTTTGTGGGATGAGTAAGGCAGAGTCCACAGCACTTCCCTTTGGTTGAAGGCACACAGCCCACAATCAGTCAATTAAGTTCAAAGTCTAGTATCCTTGGATTTCTCACTGATGCTCAGATCTCACAAAGCATTCAGGAGTATTGATTTCTGCGATCTCCAGTTGGCTGAAAGACACTGTCCCACCCATACAAAGGAAGACCTGATCTCAGTTATTCATCTCTCAATTGGATTGCAGCAAGAGGTAACGGTGGTTATAAGACTTCAGAAATAGGAAGTTCCAACTAACAGACAACATTGCAAGATGGCCCCTCAGTAGGCTATCATAAGCACATCAAATCTATTCTTCATACTGACTTCCCACAGAATAATGAATCCAGTTCAACTTGTAGGTCCTAAGTTTCAAAAGTTCAGTGTCTTGGGCCAAGGTATTAAAAAAAAAAAATTACCTAAAGCTCATGGGTGAAGATAACTGTGGTCAACAAGTTTGCACAAGGAAACTCTCTAAAAATAAAGCTTGTCTACATGTAGAGGGAACTATCTTAGAGCTAGTTCCTTCTACAGTCTGGGACTAAGGCACATCAACACATCTCACTACCTTCTGCTCCAAGCATGGGGCAATTGTTTGACTGGTCCTCTCAAATACATCACAATAGCCTTCACCCCCCTCCCAAAGATACTCCACTCTGGGTGTGTCTACACGTGAATTAACTCTGGCTTAAATTTACTGCACAAATCACTACGCAGTAAGTGGGAATAGGCTGGCGTCTACACATGCAGGTGTTAAGGTGCATTAACACTGGATATGGTCTGACTTGCTACTAAAGTTAGTCCCAAGTCAGTCACATACACAGTTTTACTCCACAGTAAGGCGCCTACGTGTGTGTTACTGAGCAGTAACTAATCAGGTATAAATTTGATGCCTGCATGATGTAGGCATCAAATTTATGCCCACATCACTGCAATGCACTATATTTACTGCACAGTATGGGCATACACGTGTAGACACATGCCTTTACTCCATAGTAATTTAGGTTACTAAGCAGTAAATGTGCACATGTAAACATGCCCTCTACGTGCTTCTCCCTGTGAAATAATGAACAAAACATAGTAACAGATATTTAATTCAGTATTGGTAGTTCTTAATCCATTACTACAACATGCTCACACTATGGTTATGGACATGGAATAAGAATCCTTGTAGAACTGAGCAGTATCTTACTACACCCAGACAGTATCAGAACAGGCTTGGGAATTAAGACCTTAAAGAAGGCAGAGCTGATGCTTCCTGAGACTAAGCTGCCTGCAAAGCATTAAAATATTTTTTATAGTAATGCATGTGAACTACAGTATTCTCATGCCATCATTTAAATCTCCACTTTGATCAAAAGGAGAACTCCCACACGAAAGAGGAAAGCCCCTTCAAGATCTACAAGAAAAACCAACAAATGCAACTGATGACAGAGCCCAGGCCATTTTATATATTCCACCAGTGGAACGCCACAGAAACAATAGCTGTTATGGATTCACAGGCAGAAATACTAGACGATTCTCTGGCTCCCCTGAAGGTAGGTGGGAGAAGGTTGTGTGGGATGCTCTAGGAGTGACTGTTAGAGGGTAGCTGGACATTGGGCTCCTTGTGAGGAGAGGGGACTGGAGGTCCCCCATGGAGGGGGCTGGCTGTGACCAAGGGGAGGCTGACCCTGGGAGATGGGGGCTACATGGGAGTCTGAATAAAGGTTAGGAGTCTGTCAATTGTGTTTTACTATACTCTTGTCAAAGCATTTGATCACTTTTTCTTTCTTATACTATTTGTTCTTCCTTGCAATAAAGCCTTTTGTTTTTCTGTTACTTTACCACAGGGCCTGTGGTAAATCAGGATTTGTGGACAAATTAATAACCTGAGCACATGCATTCAGCAGAGCCATGGACAAGAAGATTACACTGACAGAAACCCATGTTGCATCTCTAGGGGCACTCTGATGCCCTAGGGCTTTGTTACAATAGCCCAAAACATCAAGACCTACAAATATCATAGCAGCATTTGCGATCATTATTCTAGTGCTCTCTTTATAACGGATGAATGTGAAGAGTTTAACAATTCAAAACAGGCATTTTTTTCACTTTTTTCAAAACATTCTCCCAGTGCAATCACTGTATGAAACAAGAGGATAGCAAACTATAATTTTTGCCCTCAATTACAGGTGAACAAGCAGTAAAAGTCCCCACAAACACAAGCCACAGACAAAGTAAAATGAATATATTCAACTGCCAGCACTGGTAGTCTCACGTAACATTATGCACCTTACGCAGGAGCTAAAATTGTAGTTAGGGCTGCAAGTAAACACTCACTGCATATTTCATTTGCTCATAATCTTCCAGTTTCAGCCCAAAGGGGAAGTCTGGGGATGACCCATTTGGCTGATGAACCATTCAAGTAGGGAAATACGTACTTGGAAAAGACGCAGAGACAACATTTTTTAACATAGGAGCCTGAAGTGGGGATCATTAGGCATCTAAATAAAGGCACCTTTTGTAAGTTGCTATGCATGCAACTGTTCCCACAGGAACAGGGTGGGAGTGAAATGGGAAGTCTTTACATGCGAGTGCTGCAGCAAGGTTTGCTCCCATCGCAACACAGTAAATACTAACCACGTAGGAATTACACTGTCTTCTGTTGGGGAAGCTCAGCTTGGAGGCAGTCTCTCTATTCCTGAAAGCTGCTGAGCTGCTTACCAGCAAAGTTGACAGAGATAATGTTCAAATGATCAACTGAAAGCTAAAGTGACCAAGTGACTCAGCATCCTCCTGGCTTTCATTCCTGTACTCACAAGGGTGCCTTGGAAGGTCACAACTGGTATGAAGCTTATTCCTCCCTGGCCCAATTTTCAGAACTGCTAAACACTTGCAGCTCCTGCCAATGTCCAGTGGCGATGTAGGTGCTTAGCACTTTGGAAAAGCCGGAACTGTGGCAAACAACTCAGCTTTGTAAGTATTTCTGAAGAGAACAAAAGCGTCTATGTAGTAGGCTTTATCTGTGGAGAGTTGATATGGATTGAACACACTCCCAAATTTCTATCGTGCTTCCTAAACCCGAGCTTCAGAAGACCACACCCATGCCACTTCTCTTGCAACACACCTCCCAGCAGAAGGAGCAGTAGAAGTAATAACCCTTGGTCAAGTTTGTTTTGTTGATCCTGCTAAAGATGAAGGGGAGGTTGCAGAAGCCAAATAGGCCACAGTGCTCTGGTCCTGCAAGTCAAGAGTAGCAAAACAATACTTTGCCTTCCCACTCTTCTCTCTTCCATCTGCTTAAAACAGAAACTATCCCTTTGGTGTACACTGCATTACTCCAGCAAGCACACCTGGATAAAGAGTCAGCTACATGGTACTACTGTGCTAAGGCAGTGATACAGGCTAGAAGAGGCTTTACAAGAAGGAAACCAAGAAATAAAAGACAGAAGTAAATTTAATTGGTATCAAAGCAGCAATTCTGTAATTCATTCACTAACCAAATCACTAGAAGGTGGTAACTGTTCTTAAAAGGAAAACATCTATTCCTTATGACCTGGATTCTTTGTTTGAAAAGGGGCAGGGTGAAATCACAAACCCACCCAACTAGAAGTGATTTTATTATTCACCCCTCCTCCAAAGCAACTGCTGATTTAAAAGATTGCTTCCATGTGTAGTTGGCTAGCTATCTCACCAGTTACAAGGTTCTTCCAGCGTGGTATTTCAGGTTAGTATACACAGGAAAGACCAGCCTCACAAAAGGCAGTACTATGCCATGACCATAACTTGCCAAACACTACCAGAAGAACACTTTGGAACAGTTTTCTAAAATGGGTATTAATAGACTGCAGCATACTTCTTGCTGTACTGGGTAAAAAGATCTAAAAAAAACCCATGCCAGTAAAACCACAAGACTCATACAGTAAGGCAGCTTAGATAACTGTTCCTGAAAATTATTTGACTTGTGATGTGCCTAAGTAAGCAGGCTAGAACTGTTTAACAGTTTTGGATCATTTCAATCCCTGACATGCAGAGGCCAGTATATCACTGGTATTATTCAATCAGTACAGATTCCTATACCTTTCCTTTGGGAGCGTCTCAGATGCTCCTGTCACCAAGACGTTACTTGGGCTATGCTGTCACTGGGAAGAGGTATGTGAAATTCTGTAGACAAGGCTCTGTGATTTTCATCTTGATGTAGCTAATTGAAGTCAAGTCTATTCTCCCCCACCCCACGCTTGTAAGTTACTTGAACTGGCTACATACCCGGATACATCACAGGGTCTTGCCTTCACATCAGGATT